GCCGCAAGCAAAATTACGAAAAAGCCACACGAACCGGCGAATTGCAGTATCGCAGCGTCTGCGCGCGTCGGCTTCAGGTGCGACGACGACGACGACTTGACGCGTCACCCACGACACTCACATCTTTGTGACGCACAGGCCCGGATCCGCGGCTGGCTGGCGCGAAGACGCTACCCGTCGCTCCTCGCCCACGTACGCTTTTGGAGATTGCGCGTGGAAGCCTATCTGCTGGATTGTTGTAGTATTACAAGCAGGGAAATGGCGACCCACGCCGGCGGTCTCTGTTTTATGCCTCCAAGTGCGTCGACAATGGAACGAATTTTAAATGTGTGGTCTTAACGTGAACCGATCAGGGTCTCGGCGATCAGCAGTCGTATTGTGCGCGCGATGAAGGCACGTGCGGACTCGATCGACGCCCTCCTTGCCGAGTTTGACGAGAGCATGAGCCGGAGTCGCGCCATTTTCAGCGGCGAGACCAACCAAGAGACAGCCAACGGCAAAGTGGCAAGCCAGTGGACCACGGCGCTTGCCAAGGTTGTAGTTATTAGTTGCTCGTAGACGTAAAAATCTTGCATTCGATCGAACGTGTAGGCCACGGCGCGCAACGAGGCCGAGTGTCCCATCTGCCTCAACGCCATGAGGTACGAGCCCAACTTTCCAGTGTCTTAGTGGACGAATAAACAGACTCTGTCTAGTGCCAAGGCCGTGACGCTCTTGAGCTGCTCGCACGTCTTGCACGCCGAGTGCTTGGTCGCGTTCGAATCGTTCAACATCTACGAAGTGCACCTGTGCCCCGTGTGTCGCGGGCACTACGAGAGTCGCCGTCTCCACTGCGATATGTCGTCGTTCGCAGACTGAATTATTTGCAGTGTGGGACTCTGGGGCATCCAGTGCGTGCGACCGCATCCAGTGCAATAATGGCGGAAACAGTGCTTTTCCACGCAAGATCTTGCATTGGAGCGAAAACCACGTGGGCGCCGTGTATGGCTCGACTCTGCATGCACTCGGAACGCGTGAGTTGTTTATAGTACTGCAGAACAGAGTCGGTCGACCGCGCACACGCTGTTCCATAGAACATTCGCGGGTGGCCCGCATCCAGCCGATTTGCAGTAACAAGCGTTGTGCAATGTGAGAAGAGCCGAGGAGGACATGGCGGACTTGCCTGCGATATGACGCCGCTCCGTCCTGCAGCCTTCTTGGTGTCCTACGCCCTCGAGCTGGTCGCGGCTACTCCTCGGCGCGGTGTGAAAGACGGAACAGTAGATCGAGACCGTGAGAGGTCCGCCTCAAAGCAGCTGTCTCGGACTCATCCCGCACCAACTCGGCCAATGTCGACGCTGTGCGCCGCATGTGTCGAAATGCCAGCTGGCAACATTCGCCACCACCGCGTCGCCTGCACTAGCTGGCAGAAGCACGGGCAGCGGCGGGAAGATACGGTGCGCCGAACACGCTGCAACGACGATATATACCAGCGACGCATTCCTCATTTTGCGCACTCGACACCAAACACACACAAACAGCTATGGAGACACCCACGCACGCGCCCCGGTCGCTTCTGCGCCCGTCCTTGACGCCGACCAAGCTTCTGAGCCCGCGCATGTTGCCCAGCTTCCAGCGCTTCCTCGACACATCCAGTCCCGTCTGGAGTCCGAAGCTCAACCCGTTCTTAAACCCACTCGAGCCCACGTGCAAGTCGTTTGCAGGCGAGCGCTGTGCCCGCCTCGGCTGCACGCGCTTTGCGAAAATCTCGCAGCTCTGCCTCCAACACGTCCGCGAGATTATGACGCCGAGAACGCTCTCGCGCGCGCAATCGCCAACCGCGTCCGAGAAGGCCAAGCACGTTAACCGCCGCTGCAAGCACGAGGCCTGCGAAAAGTACGCGCTCGCGGGTGGCTACTGCATTGGTCACGGCGGCGGCAAGCGTTGCCAAGAAGCCAACTGTCATACGATCGCGCAAAGCGGCGGCTACTGCAAGTTCCATGGCGGTGGCACCCGCTGCCGCGAAGACGGCTGCACGCGCATCGCGAAACGCAAGGGCGTCTGCAAGGAGC